TCAAAATTACACTGATATAATAGTAGTTATGTTTTTTCTAAATGGATCAGTACAGATGCATTATTAAATTTTAGGAAGCTTGGATGTCATGATTGCATTTTCTATCATCTTGGGAACTATTTCTGTCTTTTAAACTGGGCAGCATAAGATCTAAAAAAGGTGGCAAACACTGTAGGTATTTGTACATATCTGTGCTGCTTTGAGGTTTCTGTTTATTTGTTTTTCTAGTACCCTTTACTTTTTACTTTTCAGTCTCGTTACAAAAATGTCATAAATAACAATTATTTTTAAAGCTTCTTGACATCTACACAGATTCTAAAAATCTGTTGACTCTGAAAATCTGTATGTAAACTGAACACCTTTGGTGAATTTTTTTTTCTTTTTTCCCCTGCAGGTATTTTGATGAGATTGATGATGAGATGGATCCAGAAATTGAAGAAGCGTATGAAAAATTCTGTCTAGAATCAGAACATAAGAGAAAACAGTGAGATGTTATGTATTAATGTTAGTTTATTTAACTACTTTAGGTATGCTTAGAGTGAAGGGGGACACAAAACATTTGTACCAAAACGAGAAACTTGAGTTTCTCCAAGTACTAAAGTTACACAATTTCCATTTTGTTTAACAGAATCTGCCAAAAATTGTAAACTTATGCCCTGTAACTTAAAATGTTGTGTATATATATCATAGTTTATTTTGTGAAAAAATGTTTTTTGAACAATGTTTTGGCTGCAATAAAAAATATTTAAAAGTTATAATTGAAATTAAAACTTAATGGGGATATGTCCCATAAAACTTCCCTTGTGGAAGAAAGGGAGACAATAATCTGAATTTGCTTGCTTGTTTGCTTTAGTATATATTGGGATTTTCTCATCCTATTTACCATATACGATATATCTTGCATTTACTTCCTCCACTTACCCCCAAGAAGAGTATGATCCAAATAAGCACGAAAATTTTTTTCTGTATATCACAATCATGAAAAGTGGCTTGTGAAAGTTTTGTGTGTGAGTTTTTGTTTTGTTCATTTCCTTTTCCTTCTTCTTTCAAAACACACATCAGTGAGGTCGGGACTTTTCTTTTTTCCTGGAATAAATATGTTACATGTTGATATGTGAAAAAGCAAGCAGTATTTTGGAAGTGAGGTGCTTTCAAGATCTTTGGTTCAGATAAGCTTATTTTCGAATCTACAAGAAAAAGCTATTCTGTGATTTGTTGTGTTCTTCAAGGCAATAGTAATACAGTTATGTTCTAAACCATGCTTCTCAAGAGTATGTGCAGTGCTTTTTTTTGTTGTTTTTTTTCCGGTAATGTATCTAACATGTCTAACCTTTCACAACTCTTGTAACTTTCTTTTATTCTTCTAATTTTATGTAGTTTGATTTAATTTTGTAGTTGGAGTAAATTCACATATTTCATAAAGGTTAACATTCTGAAGCCAACTGCTTTTTTTTTTGACTCCATATAATCATGTTAGTTTTCCTAGGATACTCCATTGTTGTTGTTGCCAAACTTGGTTGAATTATTTCCTGTTACCTGTTGCTGGTTAGACTTGAGTAGAAATCCTTACCAAAAACAAACACAAGTATTCCCAACATTTAGCTACTCTAAAGAACACGCATTGTAAATATGCATGTAAATAATTCTGATAATATTTCACTGTTATTTGTTTAGTTAAATAAGTTGTGCATCTGCTAGTAGAGTAAGCAGTGTCTGTTTTCTGGTGTTTATTTAACATACCTATTTAGGTCGGAGTTTTGGAAAATAAAATTTAACTAGCTTAATTTCCTTTGGTATAATATCACTACCTTGTCTTCTTGCTTTAAAACAAAAACGATTTTTTATCTTCTATCTCTCCTTCACTGAGCATTCCTTTCTCTTCAAAATACAGAGTTGCAGAGACGATTATCTTTTGATTCTTGCTGGAATAATAAGATGTATCAAGATGCATTATGTTCATAAAGACTGTTTTAGCATTCCAAAATCTTTAGACTAAAATTCAGAAACTAGAAATGTGAAAGCTAGATGACTTTCAAATACATATTCTCTAAGTTGAGCATAATTTTCCTACAAAGCTTTTAATCTGAATATAGGTCAGACTTTCTGCTGGCTTTACAAGCAGATGTCTTGTCTAAATAATATTTATTCAAAACTTAAAGTCCCAAGGAACAAGCATTTATATATGCTTTACAGTAAAGTAACAGTGACTCAAAGGGACTGCACTTTATATGTTTTAGTTTTGCATGATTTGAGGTGAGCCTTCTTTTTCTGTAAGGTAGCCGTCAGCTCCAGATGTACTGTCAGCTTGTGGAAACAGTAATTTTATGAGTAGATAAGAAGCATGCCAAATCATTGGATAAAAGAAATTCAGAAACTAGGAATTGTATATAGAGAGCAGCTCAGGTCAAGTTTTCAATACAAGTTTTTTCCTCCACTGAAAATACTAAAAAATCATAAAGTAAGACTTTTGTTCAAATGCTCAAACTAGTGTAGAGGTTTATCGTCTGTACACATGAACTTTGTAAGTGCTTTCAGTCTTTACTGCAGGAGGGGAAAATTGGTTTTAACTCTGTCCTGCTGCATAAGGAAAACAGGATAATCTTTTTGTTAAACACTTAAGTCTTTCCCACTTGTCTTGAATCTCACAGAACCTCAGTACAAGTTAGTGAATGTGAGAGAGCAAAAGCAAGCAGCAGGTGTGTCAGGATGCCCATTATTCTGTGTATGATAGAGATGAGTCATGAGAAGTTTAAAGGTTATTTCACCTGAATGTTAGCATTTACAAATTTCAAATGCACTGTGTAAAAGTGTTTTTCATCTACAAGTTTCTGAATAACGCCTTGAAAATGTACAACCTTTTAAAAGGACATATTTTCTTAATGGCATAATGGTAAATCAGTGAAGGCACATATGAAGTGAGGCTCTATAGCTCTAGTTCTGAAAAGAAACAGGCTTCATATTTGAATTTGATCATGAAACCCAGGCTTTGCAGATCAGTAAACTTATGCACACCATTTCCCACTTTTGACAAATTATGATTTAGCAAAAATGTTTAGTATTTGAAAATCACACTTCGTTTAAAGTAATTTCAAAATTGCTGCTTTGCATGTGCTTTGCTGTTGAGTGATATTCATGTCCAGAAATGAAGTCAGCTTGCTCTCAGTATTTTCCTTTAGCCTCTTTTTCTAAACAGATGAGGTCGCTGGGTTTTAACTGTTGGGTTTTAGAATAATTGTACCAGTAGAGAGAAGCAAGTCTGGCCCAATCAAGTATCACAGGTATCAGAAACTGTACATAGCTAGGATTTGTTTTTCAACACAATAATCTGTTGTGGCACTGAATGTTAGTGACACTCAATCTGGTTTGTACTAGTAAGCTTTATTTCTCACTAGGACATTACTTCCTTATGATATTCTGCCTTTCCTTCCTACTATACACAACTCATTGAATTACAGACTGCTCAGGTTTGCAACTTCTCTCTGCCTGAATTATAGTTCTAATCATACAGTTGATGCCTGTGGATCATTAGTTGATACAGGAACAGAAAATGACATTTCGACCAAAACTCAAGGAAGATGCTACACTATGCCCTGAACTGCTGATTTGCCACCTTTACTTCAGCCTGTGTGACCTACTTCCAGAGTTCCTATGCTGAGGGTCCCAACCAGAGCAGTGAGATTGACAGCAAAATACAATGTATCATCCATATATAATATTCATAACTCATTAATAATCCCAATATATACTTTGAAACTTGCTTCAGGCAAGTACTGAACACAATGATACTAATTTAAAAGTGGTATTGTGAATAGAATCAGGTTATTTTGATGCATGGCTGTGTCAGCAGCCACTTTACTTGGTGTTGATCTACTGTCTGGCAAGACAACAGCTGTCGAGAATGGAAAGTTGAACTGAATGCACTCATCCATGATTGCACTGATATGAGAAACCTGTTCTTCCCTAAGCAGGGAAGGGACAATCCTTGCAGCTAAGAGAGACCATATGGACTAGTGCGGATCTTCAACTGCTAGGGCGTGGGGGTCAATAATAATTGTCACTTAGCTGTGAACTGCCAATCCACTTAAAACAGCTTTGATTAAACTGTAAGTATTGGTGGAGCGTGGAGGGTGCATATAGTAGTCAGAAAAACGCAACTAGGCATCATAAAATTGTCCTTTGGCATCTTGGTCTTTCTATCTGTTCAGAGAGGGCTTCTACTGCCCAGTTCTAGGTACAGAGCTGTGTGTTGGCTCACCCTGCCCCGTGAATGAGTGAATGAAAAGGAGCTGTCACCAGAGAATTATTTATCTGTAGTCTTTCCCGTGGCTATGTTGCAGATGGGCAGTCTGCCTCCTGGTTTTTCAGAGGTGCTACTGTGGGGAGGTGAAGAATGAATGCCCAGTTGCTGAGCTGTGGAACAAGCAGTTCCGTGGGGAGCCCTGCTCTGCAAGGGGCACCTGCTGACGAGGTCTCCTGGAGAGGCTCAGTTACAGGTAAGTGCAGGGAGGCCTTTGTACTGGTAATTTTTATTTCCGGAGCAGCAAAAAAACTCTCCTCGGTTTTCAGCAACTAAATACTTATTTTAAAACTTATTTAAAAAAAAAAAAAAAAAAAAAAAAAAAAAAAATAAGGACGAAGATACTGTGTGCAGCGTAGACACGGTGCCCAGTTTCCTTTTATTATTTTACAGGTGTGCGTATCCAATGCGCTCACCTTCCGTGAGAGAGCACGAAGGCCCGGTTACCTCACCGACGTATGCAGCTGGGGAGGAGCTCGAGAGCGGGTCGGGAACGCAGCCGAGAAGCTCGGGCGGAGCTCCGGCTGGAGTTCAGGCGGGAGTTCGGGCGGAGCTCGGCGGGAGCTCGGCAGTGAACTCGGGCGGAGCTTGGGCGGGAGTTCGGGCGGGAGTTCGCTCCTCTCGCCCCGCGGTTCCCGCCGTGCGGCGGCGCGGCCGCCTCGGCCCGAGCGCCCTCCGCGATTCTGGCTCGGTCTCCGGTGCAATGGAGGCGGAAAGGCTGATGGTGCTGTTCGGGGACGATTCGGTGGAGGTGCACTACGCGGGGGGGTCCCGCTTGCTGCTGTCTCCTTGCGGCTCCGAGTATCTGTACGAAGCGGCGCTGCCCGCGGCCGCCCACCCGCTCCAGCCGGCGGAGACCACCCGCCAGCGGGTCGCCTTCGCCGTCAGTGCCTACCGGGTATGCGGAGGGCACTGTCTTTGGGTACGGGAGCGTTGTCCCTCGGCCCTGGGAGCATCCATCCCTTGGGCAGTGCCAGGGCTGCCTCCGTGCTCGGCAGCGGCGCGGCCCAGGGATCACGGCCCCAACAGGAGTTCTTGTTTTCTCTGTACAAAAAGGAGAGGGTTTCATGAAATCAGCATAAAATTTTATCACTGCATGTAAAAACTCTTAATAGGGTTTGTACTTCTCTGCACTTCAACAGGAACAACTTCTACGAGCGCTAGATTTCCGGAACGCGTTTTCTTCTCGCCCGTACTTGCCTTCACGTGTTATACCTCCAGAAAGAAAAAAGGTGGGATTACACATTAAGCGTGTAATGCTTTCGTGAAACAAACTTCTATAGGTGATTTAGTATAATTTCACATGCATTTGCGTGAGTACTGGTGGTGGAGATCTATGTAGTGCAGTTTGGCTTTCTTAAACTACTGCCATTTTAAATTACAGTTTTAACTGTTACTCAGACCTCTGTTAATGCATTTTGTTTTTAGAAAGAAACACTTAAGCTAATTTATTGCTAGCAAGGGTAAAACCTAGCATTTTGTACGTAGTTACATTTTGACAGCAGAAACTTTTCAGGGAGGTCACAGTGCAGCAGGAGAGTGTTTTCTGAGCTGTCAAGATCTCCCCATTGAAGTACTCTTGTGAAAATGCTGCTAGGGTCTGTGAGAGGAATGGAGCCAAGTATCTTCTGTGGGAATGGCCACTCCAGGTCAGACTGAACATCCATGCAGAGACCAATTTAGCATCTCTGGAAGCTTTGCTCCAGATCAGCATCCCTCTGGGTGTTCCCACTGAGTATGAGTGTCTGCACTGCATGGTAGGAATCTTAAGCCAACTGATTAATCAAGTGAATTTTAAAGCTTTTAGACTGACCCTTCATTAGTAACACCCTTCATGGTGATGTTACTGTCATTCAGTGTCACTATATACTAAATTAAAAGACATCGGTCCTTACCAGTCATGCATTCAGTGCAAAGTACAGCAGCAAAGAGTTGATGCTCTGTTCTTAGCACTGAGGAAGAGTAAGTTCCACCTTCTCTCAAGCCTTGAAAGGTCTTGCTCTTTTGGAGATTGGTTGGGTTTATAGACTGTTTTTAACTTACAGCATCCCTTGTGACTACCTGCTTCAGGATGCTGAAGGATAACATTCCTAGGCCACAGCAAGCATCTTACCATGTTGTTTGGATTCTCCCCCACACCCCTTTTTTGTTGCTTTGGTTTCTTCCACCTCAGTTTGAAGAAAACTCCTGCTTTTCTTAAAGCCAAAATAGTATTTTTAGAACTCCTGAGATTCTCTGTCCCCAGCAGTTTACTATCTCTGTATTGTTCTGTGGCCTGTTACCAAACAGTGCCCATGTTTTCTAGGCCCTTTCTGTTTCCCACACTCCAGCATAATAAAGTAAGAGTTACTAAGCTTCAGCTCTCATAACAAATTGTTGATGAGCCTGACAAGCCAGCCTGGGGCCTTGCAGAGTTGACCTGAGGCCTATTACTACCGGTGACAATGACAATAACCAGTGACAATACTTTGATGGGCACAAAAACACTTAGACTGCATTACTTGTGTGATAATTGATAAAAGATTCGTGTTAATCACAAAAGTATTAGGGTTTGTATAAACCGGAATACTAAGGTCTGAAGTGAAGCATGGACACTAGATAAAGGAAAATATATGATTAAATAATTCTGTTTTAAATCACCTTGTTATGTTATGTTACGTTATGTTTTCCAAGTAAGTTGTATCTACTACCAGCTTGCAAAATCAGACTTCCCAATAGCTCTTCCTGCCTTTGTTTGATCAATGCTGCCTATCTCAAGGACCAGACTTCCAGATTTCACTGGTGGTTACCTACAAAGGCCAGATGGTTATCTGTGACTGACTATTGCCCAGAGACTTTGTGAATACAGATGTTTATTCGACCACCACTGCTTACCTGGCAAAATGATGACAGCAAAAAATCCAAAATTATTGATTACAGTGAGAAACCACAGTATAAGAAGAGGCTGCAAACCAAAGTTCAGTGGAGCATGGAGTGGGTGGTGACTCCTCGTGTTCCCCAGCGCTGCTTGCTATCTCAAATAAAGCAATCTAAATTTTGCTGAATATCGAGATTTTTGTTTCTCATTTATAACAATAGTCTTATGCTTGAATTCAAAACAACCCATTCCTGTGGTGTGCTCAGGCTCTCTTTTGGCCACTCCAACCACCCACATGTCTAGACAGCTCCATAAGGGGGATCTTGTCAGTGGTCTGGCCTGTTCAGAACTGCAGCTAGTATTCAAAATGCAGGTTAACTGTGAGTATATATTCAGTGGTGTTGCTAGATGTTTGCCCTTACTCAGTTCCTTGAACTTTCAAACATTTCATTCTGATTAAACTGCTGGTGAGCATTGAGTGTGTTTTCATGGGACTGAGAATTACAACACCAGGATCCTAGTTGGTGGCAGTCAGCTTGGAGCCCATCCTCCTATATAGAAATATACATACATAACTATATATTGTTAGGATTCCCATTGCCTTTCCCCATTGGGATCATAACTGAAGTTTTACCTGCAGCCTTGTTGTCTGGTATTGATTATATTATTGACTATATTTTAGTGTCCTTTTGCAATTCTTTATTAAATTCACTGATAATTGCTATGAACAAGATAATTTGGCTGTTCTCTCCCTTGTTTCTGAAGAAGCCATTGGAAATACAAACGTGCAGTTGTGCCTAGTCATGTTGCCCATGTACTTTACTAATTTATGACTGGATTAAATTAAAACATTATTGCTAGATAGAACTCTGTTAATACAGGAGGAAGCAGATATGAAGATTAGATGTTTTGCATCCTCTGAGTTCCTACATGTAGATAAATACAGTGCAACATATCTTGCAACATGTCATACATCACCTTGCAGAAGGTGTATTTTAAATGTAATTTAAATGTAAATGCTCCGCTGCAGTTTCTGGGAAGCTGGTCATTTTTATCTTGCTGAACATTCCAATCCTTTTTCTTTTACTAGATTCTTCTCAGTGATATCTTAGAAATTAAATGGCCTGACCGTGCGACTCCTGATCTGACAAGATGTTTAGACAATGGCAGTGTGAAGATCTCATCTGTAGATGGGTATGCTCACCTTTACTTGTCAGAATTGCAGCAAGAATTTACAGTGGAGTTCTTATGCAAAGTCAGCCAGTCATCTGCAGCATCCTCATGCTCCTCTGAAAAGAACAGCAACTATGAAAGTGGAGATCAGCATGGAAAACCAAGTAAAAATTTTGCTGCAGAAGTCTCCTCAAAACAAAGAAGAATAGAGAACAGGAATAAAGGTTGTGCTGAAGGTAAATACAGGGAACCAATCAAACCAAAGGACCAAAGAGATGGAGTTCCTTTGTTCCACACAAATTGTTCTTCTGAATACACATGGGTTACACAGCGTTGGACTGTTTCCTTGTGCCCAGAAGAATGGAAATACCCTTTGTTCTTGGCACTAAAATGTTGTAACTTACATACTGTGGAAAATGTAATGAAGACATATGAGAAAAACAGCTGTACAGCTATTGAAGGTGATGTTTTAGCAGACTCTGAAACATATGAAACAGTTTCTTGTTTACCTACAGCTTTGCCGCTCAGCTGCAGAGCCCCACATCTACACAGGTAATTTAAACTCTTTACTTTGTGGTTGTTAACATATGCTTTACGATTCTGCAGTTTGGAACTTCAACTTCTAGAGAAATAATTGAATCCTAGCTATTAAAAATAAAGTTTTAAATTACTACCTTTTTTTAAGGAACTTCTTGAAACGTGACATTGCACCCAAGCCAACATTCTGTAACCCAGCATTCCGTAACCCACTGTAATGAAGCTATAGTAATTAGTTCCAATTAAAAAAAAAAAATTTGTGACATGCTGCATGAATATGTAAATGGAAAAGAACATTGAAAATAGAACACAGGTTTTGTACTGGGGTGGGTTGGTTTTTCCTCTTCAGTTTTGAAAAGATAGTATTTCTGAGGTGGGCCAGTGGCATATGTTGTCTATCAGCATCACTAAAAATAATAATAAAAACATTTGTGGAATTGAGAAATTTAATTTGGTAACTAAAGTGGATCACTAAGGAATTGGAGGACTCTGAAAATATCCATCACATCTTTTGAATAAGTGTGCATGCATCAGTTCTAGTTTGATTCAACAGGAATTATTACCAGCAAACACGCATAGACAGAACAACCAACATACTTAGTGAGGCTTTCATCATATTTTACACACAGGTGGACATTCTGTGACTTCTTTCAGAATGAAGATATGGAGAAGTATTCATTCCCTCAGCTAATTCAAGTTGTGTGGTGCCAGGGTGTTTTCTACAGGTATGTAGGAGATCATCTGTGTTATCTGAAGACTTTATTTGTATAGGAATTAAAAATCTAAGATGAAATGTCTTATTTTGTCTCTTTCTCACTCTTCAAGAAATGCAACACAATCTTCATGTCAGAGTTTCTTTGTTTCTGCTGTTTTTTCATTGGACTTCACATCTAGCAGGTGTATTATCAGGTCTGAACTTGAAATCATGTTTAAGTGATCTGATTATCTGATTTCTTAAAGGTTTACTGGACAGCCGGAGTTCCCACAGATTTCACTTACAATAATGGTACTTTGTTTTTTTGCTAACTTTTCTCCTTTTGCTGCTGAAGATTTCATAGTTCGGAAATATTTGTCTTGGTGACCTACATAATTCACATGCTCAGCTGTGGATTTTCCTGTCACCTTGTTCATATGGTTAACGAAAGATCAAAACAGACAAACAAACCAAAAAACACCCCAAGAAAAACCCAACAACAAGACTTGCAAATCAAAATTGCTACAACTGGTATTAGCACCTAAAGTCTTCAATAAAAGCATCACTGGTGTTTAAACCTTTACTCTTTCTGCTGAATGTTCTTCATTTTTCCTCAATGTAATTCCTAAATTTTAATCTAATTGAAACAAAATGTTTAGCGGTGCTTCAGAACTTTTTTAGAGCTTTTCTTCTCAGTTAAGACCTTCAGATTGTTCAGGAATTGTTCAGTCTGACAGTTTTCTATGTACACTAGGTATGGCTGGTCTACTAAAAAAAATGGATTTTTCTTTTCAGGATCACTGTGTTTTGTGGTCAGTGGAATGAGCAGCTCTTGAGAGATGTTTACCTCAACACGAAAAAACCTTTCCTTAGCTTATTTAAATCCCACCCTCATGCATATGTGCAAACAAAGAGCCTAGTAATGTTAATATTCTGTGTTAAAAGAGATTATTGATACATTCTGCTGTTTGTGAAACAGTAGAAATTTTTCACATGTGAATTGCTGAAAATGTGTCTCTGCTTATTGTTTTCTTCAGGTCTAATAACCTGTTTTGCTTGTCCAGTGACACAGCATTTTAAATATTTGTTTAAAACCTTGTTATTTTTCTTAGATTTATCCATGGTAGGACAAACATCATAGAAATTTATCCTGGTGATGACTCATTTTTCAAGTCAGAGGGAGCATTTTTGGGAAAATATTTCATGCGTTATGCAATCCAAAAAGGAACAAAAAAGGTACAAAACTATTTTTAAACTAAAACTAATTAAAAGGATGTTCAGATTCCTTCAAGGTAGCAGGTTCTTTAAGACATTTTGCTGTGCAGCGTGTAGTGAAATCCCTACACTGGTAATTACTATAATGCCTCGATCAAGCCATCAGTCTTACAAAAAGATGAGATTATTCATTCTGTTTCAGAAGGTATTTTTGTAAATTTTACACAATAGGGAAATTCTTCCTTATTGTAATACTTATTTTATCAAACTCAAGAGTAAGATTCTAAAACAACCATTTCTCACTAATTTAGAAGTTTAGTCTTGAAGCTAATGTATTGATTAGAGTTTAATCTCTTTGTACTTGGAAGTGTTTCCTACTGTATGAAGACAGATGCAGGTTTTGTTCTGGCTTTGCTGCAGACCAGCTGTTCAGTGTTGGAGAAAGGATTTTGCCTCTATGTCTGCCTGTTAAGTTTCCCCAGAGGAGAGGTCCTTTCAAGTGCTAATGCAGCATCTTGTGTTTTTAAAGCAGAATTAAGGATCAGATTTGTACTCTTGGAACCCAGCCTTTAACTTATAGTCAAACATTGCCATTCAGCAATGACCTGTAATCTGCTGTCTGACAAGAGAACTTCCTGGTTCTTACTGAGTGTAAAGAAACTGAATGGAATATTTCTTCACGCAGACATAGGCTTAAGAATACACTTTTCAATGAGATATTTGTCTGTGTTCTGTTGCAGATTTAAATGTGATTATAGTTGGCTTCTGGGAGGTTAGAAATTTTTTAACTTGCTCTTAATTCTGTTTTCATGCTGCAGTACCTGTAACTAACTCATTTTCTTTCTGCTCTTTATTCAGGTGGAAGAAAAGATGTATTCAGTGAGCAGCCTACCCCCAGATGTGCCAGGACATCCATACTCTATATCCTCCATTATTACTCAGGCAACCAAGTAACTTTAACTTTGTTGCATTAATTCTGCTGATTTAGAAAGGACAGGAGTTAAAATTATACAAAACGCTTATTATTCTAAGTCCAAAATTAAAAGAAGCTATCGTAGCACTGAGGACATACTAAACTTACAAAACAAAATTTGCAAATGCTTAGAAGACATAGTAGGAATTAAATGCTTAATACTTTGGGTTTTTTTTCTCTCCTCAGAATACTTCAGTATTGCTGCAAAACAAAACTGTCATTAAGTCATAATTACTATCTCTGCTGCTGGAAAGTGGTATGTAGCTGAAAATTCATAAATCTTTCAGTGTTATAAGGATGATTATACAGGCTATAGGGAATCGGACTTAATCTAGAGGGAAGAATGGTGTGTGCATCCACAGAGATTGGAAGACCAAAAGCATGCATTTTAAAATATTTAAAAATATTTAAGCAGCAATTGCCTGATGAAGAGAGCAGGTTGTGATCTGGAAAAACAAGTGAATTAAAAATCTGGAACGGATGCAGACGGTTTGAATTATGTAGATAGCCTTTCTTCAAGTTTTTTAATGTATTTGTTTTTTTCTAGGTATCTGAGACTGATGGACAAGAAATGTTACCAGTTTTGCTACATGAAAAGGTTATTCCTGGCATAGGAAGACTGGCTGTGTACTCAGATCATAAAGTCCATGCTGTTTTTTGGGATAGGATGACCCTGACTATGGTTTGGGATTGCAGCTCTTCCTGTAGTGAAATCCAGGTAATGTGTGACTTACAGGAAGGACTATTCCTAAAACTTTGTTACTAGGAAACTAATGAGAATACCAAACAAAAGTTCTGATAAATACAATACAGTACAAAATAAAATAAAATACAAAACCAAAAAAGAATTGAAAATTCTCCTGGTTTGGAAACATTTTTATGAACTTTTAGAAATACTTTATTCTTGAATAGCATAAAGCAAGACTTGGGGCTTTGCCAGGTGTTTTTCCTCTGCATTTGTCATAGCAGACTATAGCAGATTCTATCACTAGCAAAACACAGACTTGTAAGTTTTGAAGGTGGATTGTTCATAGATATTTGATTCTTAAATTGGCATATTGCTTTTTTTTTTCCTTTGGACTGCAGCAGAAAATTAATATTTGGTGTTTTGGGGTTTTTTTGTTTGTTTTTTTTTCCTTCTAAGATAAATGAAGATCTAGGCTGGTGTAAGTTAACTACTCCTGATGGGCTACAGCAGCTAATACAAATAAGTCATCCTGGAGTCTATGAAAGGTAATTGAAATTAATTGTATAATTTAAACAATTTAACTATAAAAATTATTCTCTGTAAATCCTCTTATATGAAGAAACAGTATTTACTGACAATATACTGGTAGGGATGGACCAAATATGTAATGATAAAATCTCCATCTTACATCTGGCAAAGATTCAACTCAAGTTGCATACTGTGATTCCATTATAACTGTTACGGCAATGTCTTTTTAGAAAAATAACTAGAGCTGCAATTTGGCATTTACTTCAGTGGATATTAAAAAAAAAAGTGTATATAGAGCTGAACAGCACTTTATCCAATTTTTGCTTTATTACAGATACTGACCTCTGCCTGCAGATTGCTTTTTCTAATCTGCTTGCTCTAATTACAGCCTCATTATGGGACTCATCAGAAGTTTTCTGTGCTGCATTTTAGCAAGCAGATATTCACAAACAAAAATTAACATTTGTACACTATTCATTGCAAATCATACAGCTTTGTTATAATTTACAGTAACTGTATAGATCTAAATATGAAGAAGATTCTAGACAAAAAATGGCAAGGCAAGCTTGCAGAAAAAGCTAGACTTTGAACCATAGCTTTTTCTTTCAGATCCAGGTGTATTCCGTAGTGCCTTCAGATTCTTGCTTGAAAATGGAGTTTATTTCTCATATAAATAACTACATTTTAAATTTTTCATATTAACACAGGTACATCAGAACAGCAATAGAATGGTGCAGAAGTTTGAATGAAGGGAAAGAGATTGCTGAATATACTGCACACTCTGTAACTGAAGAAAATTGGTATTCATCTTTATCCTAAATAATTGATAAATAAATAATGTTGAAAACAAAACTCAAAAATATTATAAGCCTTGAATTTCATATCTTGCATTTCCTAATGGTCAAAAATGAAAAATTATTTTAAAAGTCCAGTTATTTTGTATATGCTTTCATATTTTTCGTTCAGTGAGTTTCAGATAAAGGTTGTTTCATTGAGCTTTGCCTGTCTTACTTAAAAATCAGAATTATGGTGACTTTGTCAAAGGACAATTAATGTTACAAAGATAGTGTCTTGCAGTGAAAAGATACCAAACTAAGAAAGATGGCTTTTAACAGAACATCAAGCAGTCCAAAACAGTACTTCGAACTGCCTATGACACCTGTATCTCTTGCTGAGATTTGTCCTTTTTAATACGTGCTACTGACCAAAAATCTACTGACATCATCTGCAAACATATTGGGATATTTAAAATGTGCTAATTGAAATCAATTAGAGTTGTGCTTGTTACTTAAATTAGAGCAGATTCAGCTGATACATTTTATAGCTGATGAAATGGAAATTCTATCTATATTTATACATACTTACAGCAAAGAGACTATTCTTCAAGCAGAGACGCAATTTTTGGAAACACAAATGATTGACAAATGTCAGCCATTAAATAGTGGTATCAAAGACAGAGAAAATGCTTTCATTTCCACTTGGATTTTGCTGATCTAATTCTCAATATTGCTGAAAACTGTTAAAAATTAAAATCTGAAGTAGAAAATATCCTTGAGAACCTTTTATGATACTAAATCCGTGTAATAACCTTTATTTTGTTGGACAGGTCTGCTGATGCTGAGCTTGAAAAAATACAGAGATTTAACTGTATCCTTTTAAAAGCTGTAAAGATTTTTTTTTTTTCACTTTTATATTCTGCTGTTTATCTGCATGTTCAAATCCATACTTTAGATCATCAAAGGCTCTGTATCCTGGTTTAACCTTCTTCTACTGTCTCACTTCTTAAGATAACCTCATTTTCTAATTTATTTTTTTATCACTTAATTTGTAGTAAAGATTAAAAAAAAAAAAAAGGTGTCAAAGTACAAAACTAAAATGAAAAGTCACCAGAAAACATAGCCCTTTAATATGTATTGCATCAGTTTTGCTAAGAGTCATCTGCTGATCTGTTCTTGAAAGAACAATACATTTGCCTTTGGGCTTGTTGTTGCAGTACAGTATCTTTCTGTTTATCAGATACCTTAGTATTGTTCTATTGTGTTTAGACAGCTCAAAATGTGCACTGTGCTGAATCTGCTTAAAGCCACTCTATAATTGTCTTTAAGCCAGTGTTCAATTCTATTAGTATGAAAAGTGCATGCTGTTAAACTGAAGTATAAAACCGTTTTCTTTTCAAAGTAACTTTTGGATAAATTGAAGTCTAAAAGACATTTTTTGCATAAATGTCGTAGACGTTTTAAGTAAATCAGTCTTTTTCTTTTTTTAGCTGAATGTAATTACCATGCTACAAAATGTGAGACTTTGCAAGGCAGCATGATGAATACAAATGCAGAGACTAATTTTTCTCTTTAAGAGGAAGAGTCTGAATTTTTTTCTTAACAAACTGACACTAGTTTTATTAGACAACAGCAACATTCTGAAAAGGACATGTGCTGCAAAATCCAGTCCATCTGATATCACTGACAGAAAAAGAGGAAACAGGGATGAGACGGAAGAACTTAGTGAATGTTGCGTCTTGGAGGCTTTGGAAAAAACTTCTAAAGTCATTCAGGATATTGAATCTCTTCTTGGTGCCTCTGGGAAGTGAAGCCCTGTGTTCCATGTCCTCCTAGGAGCTGTCCCAGCTGTGTCTGAGAGGGCTCTCAGGGCAGAGAAGGCTGAAGCCAGAGGGACAAGCTGCTGGTATATTCCTGGTAAAGTCTGTCAGGTGCCAGTGTAGTATCAATAATAACACCAGTGCTGTATTTGGTGTAGGCAAACAGAACAGTTGAGATAGGGGAGCACTGCTGTATAAATGGATCAGGTCTGACCTGACACTGCTGCTTTCAAGTATGAATATATGTTCGAATCACTTTGATTGATGGATCGCTGCTGTCCAGGCTAGACACGGAAAGTTTTCACTGTCAAAACGTGCTTTTATTCAAATGCTTACACCAAGAAGCCTTGAAACCGAATAAAATGTTTCCCAAATGCTTTCTGTAGTGCTGTGAGTAAATAAGTAATCATTTCAGTGCAGAAGACACTTCTGTGGTCTATGAGTGGTGCACAATGTCTTTAGTGACAAAACACTAAAATCTCATCATAGATATCCCTCCCAGCACTTCGAGGAGCCAAAGCACTTACACCTAAATCCTGTATATAATAATCCCGGAAACATTTCTCCGTTACGACCAAGCCCTTCTGGCCGTGCCGGGCGGGGCTGGGAGGAAACGAGGCGGGCCCGGGTCCCAGCCTGCTCCGCGGCCACGCATGCTTCCTCAGCGGCTCCCTGAGGCGCTTTCCAGCCCGCGGCCTCAGGGCTGCCCAGCCAGCTGCGGCCGGGATCGGGGGCCGAGCCCCATGGGGTGAAGGGCGGATGGCGGCGGCCGCGCTCCAGGTGGGCTCCGGGGCGGGACGGCGGTGGCGGCTCCAGCGTTCCTCACCCCGCCCGAGCTCCGCACCTCCCCTCGCACCCCGTCCGAGCTCCGCGCCGCCCCTCACACCCCGTCCGAGCTCCGCGCCGCCCCTCACACCCCGCCCGAGCTCCGCGTCTCCCCTCACACCCTGTCCGAGCTCCGCGCCTCCCCTCACACTCCACCCGAGCTCCGCGCCGCCGCTCACACCCCGCCCGGGCCCCGCGTCCGCCGTCACACCCCACCCGAGCTCCGCGTCTCCCCTCACGCTCCTGCCGATCTCCGGTTTCCAGGATGATTCCCTGCTCGGTTTAATTTTGCTTGTTCTTTAGCGTCTTGGTAAAATCCGACCGCTTCCTTCTGGGTTCTTGCCCTCTCCATACCCAAAAATGCGTTATTATCTGGCGCAAAAATACTAGCTAGATCACCACAATAATGCGTTGTAACTATCTGGCCCAAAAATACTTGCATGATCACTCCAATAATGTGTTATAATTGTCTGACCCAAAAATGCTCGCATTTTGGCAGTTCTTCACCGAAAGTTTTAGGCTAGGATCTCCTTTTCCACGAGATTGTGCACTAAAGGTTCGAGCTGGTGTCTTAATTCTGCTTCATGCAGTTTTTAATATAGATTAGCATCCAATATCAAATGAGGGATTTAGGAGACTATGGAATTGTAAGGGATTACAGTCTTTTAACTTCTTGTGTAGAATGCATAATTCTATTACTCATCAGGGTGTTTTTCTTTTGTAGGTTGGACTTGATGATCTCAGATGTCTTGCCCAGCATAATTCATTCTGTGATTCTGTATCTTCATGCATTAAATTCCTATATGTATTCGCATATCTGATAGCATCATGCAAAACTGGGGCAAAAATTATGCTGAGCAATATTTCTAAGTGGCAGTTTTAGCCATCGTGGTTTTGTTTTGCTCGTACACAATGGCCTCTTAGTGTCAGCCATTTTCCTAAAAGTATATTTACAGTTTTGATCTAAATATCTTCTTGATTCGGTAATTTAATGTGTTCATTAAAATTACTTCGGTAATTTCCTTAAATTAAATTAAGCATATCTGCAAAATTCCATTTTGAGACTATAGACAGAGATTATGTTTAGTGGCTTATCTCATGTAAAAATATCATAGGAAACCACAACTCAAAGCTGGGTTACTCTGTCAGCTGTTGTGTTTTATGTAAATCCAACCTAGAACTTCCCTTCAGGTTGTTAACTGGACTAACCACACAGAAGTTTTTAAGCATTCGTAAATGTGTGAATTATTCCCCACTTTTCTATTTTAGCAAGAATGTAAACTGCGCAACTGCTTTATGAGATTACTAGGCTGGAAAAATTGACTCTTTATTGTGGTATTTTGTAAAGAGTCTGAAAAGCATCATTTTTCAGGGAGAAAAAAAAATCAGTTTATCATTTCAGAGGTTATTTTGGTTGACCAGAGTTTTGCTTTTTCTGGTCTGATTTCTCTATTGATCTGCAGAGTATTTCTGGGAAATTCTGTTGTACCTGGGAGTGTGAGTTGATTTTTACACAGGTGGCACTCATTTTTGTCTCCAAAGGAGGCTGAAACAACTGGTTTAAAAAGAACAGTTGGCTCTTGACTATAGTCAGCCTGAAGACAGGTTTGCATCCTGTTCTTCATTTTCGCCCAAAGAGCACATGCTAATACTTAGCATAGCAAAAGTGTAAGCCTAACACAGAACTGACCCAGACCTCTGTTGTTAGATGAATTTCTAGATCTCTCTTTATCTACTCCAAGGTCACTAAGTGATGGGGTGGAATATAAAACGAGATCCCTGAATGGGACTCATGAATGTTCCATTAGGTGGGAGTCTTCCAGGCACAAGAAGAAATCTGTAAAAATGCATTGCTCTATCCCTTGAAATGCAATTATGTAGAAGACCGGAACTGTTCTTTTTGAACTTTGTGTTTTATTATTTTTTAGTTACTATCATGCTCTGTTTTTATTTCTGCTCTTCTCTTGGTTTATGATCTTTTTTCTGCTTTCTTTTACAGAGCTTCAAAGCTTAGCTGAAGTTGCTTTTAGCTGAATTATATTTGTTTACAAATTAGTTAAATATATATTTATTCTTTCTGGATTTTTTTACTGTTGTTCATATTTCATGTACGCTGTTTTGCCTAATATTGGTACTTACTGGTGCCTGGTTTGGTTTTTTTTAGGATGGAGCACATGGTGTGTGGTATTTCCTGCACTGGACTGGGCAGACTGGATTCAGAAAGCACAGAGGCTCAACATTGAGGCATAGCCCATAGACTTTTCCTACTGGCGTAGGGCACCTGTGATGGAAAAAAAAATGTTTTCCTAGTCCCAGGGGAAGTTTGATTCTGCATACCAGTGTGCTTTTTAAAGGTATCATCAACTCTTCACAAATTGGATTCTTTCACAGCTTTTATGGTAATTTTAAATGAAATCCAATCTGACATGATGTCCACATAGAGAAAACATTTGTGAGGAGACTGCCATTTTTTCCCTTAACATGGAATTTATTCAGCAATATCCTGTGTACCATAAGGTCACGCAACAGAAAACAGCATTTCCATTGTTTCAGGAAATACTTTGTGTCTATACATTAATTCAGAAGAGGCACAGTCGTGGTTAACAGACTAAACTTGACCCACTTTTTTCATCTCTGTGCAAAGTCCATGTATTATTCATGCTTTCTTCTCTTTTACTTTTTAAAATGTTTTCTAAATAAATTATTCAGTAGGCTTTTTCTTTTCCTACAGAGATGCCAGTAGTTCTGTCTTGTGGATAATTCTACAACAGGCAGGCATGTTAATAATCTGGAAGAAACATTTATATCTTGTAAGACTTGTAATATGTTTAAAATCATAAATTGTGTCAGCTTAGGAAGTTTAATACACTCACTAAGGTCCGTCACAATAAGAATTTACCTAATAAAGAAGGGTTGTCAAGATTTAATGCATTGCACAAAAATGGTGAATTCATGGGAAGAATCATTTTTAGGCAGGATATAGACTTTAAAACTGTGGTCTGTCCCTACAGCTCCCCAAAAAGACTAGCATAACAGCTAGGACAGTTAGAACTTCACTTGCAAAAAGTGGACTTATGAAGGTAATGTGGCAGACAATAGGCAAGTACTGAAAGTAACAGCCAACTTTCCTGCTGGAGCACGTGCTGAGGAAAAGCTTAGGTAATTTTGTTCTCTAAGGAGGTGGTTTTGATTACTTTGTTTGACAAAATGATTGTTGTCTTTGTGTTTATTACAAATAATGAAGATATTTTAGTGAGTTTGGTTTTCTTACGTTCCAGTCTCCAAACTAAACAAGGAAAGGGATCAGGAAAGGATTCCAGGGGAATACTACATATGTTAGCAAAGAATGTAAATTAAAGCAGTGGTTTAGATTATAGATTGGCAGTTTTAACAGTTGTATAGAGAAACGTGGGATTTTGAGAATCACTCCTAAGAATCCTCCAAACTGAATCTTTTTTTGTTACTACAGTGTAAAGTATTTCATTGGATTAAATCATGTATTTAAGAACAGAAGGAATCTTGAAACATATTCTCAGTGTATTATGTATTAGATAATGTTTCAAGTTGTTTTGTAATTTTGTAATACTTAACATTTCAATAAGTGGAATTAGAGCTCTCCATGTTACTTGTGCTGGTTCTAATTAAAACAGGGCGGGGGTTTTAATTCAGAGCTGTAGTTTTTAAGTCAATGAATTAATTGAAATTAAAAATTCCCTCGGAATGTTAAATGCAAACACTGAATTTGGGATCTTAATACTAGCCGTAGCTGTGGTAACAAATGTTTTGTGCAAACAGATTTTCTTCGTTTAATAGTTTTCTTTCTGATCTCTGACATATACAGAACAACTGACGATTCAAAGGACAATGCACAGTGTGTATCCTGATGACATTTGGTGTGCTGCAACATGGTTTTTGTCATGGCATCTGAGACTGAAAAGGCCCACGCTCTTCTCCAGACTTTCAGCACAGCGTCAGTCATTTCCAGTCTAGGTCTGGGGATATTCTGCTTTGTAGCAGACAGACTTCTGCAGTTTTCCTTCATTCAGCAAAATGACTGGCTCCGAGCCTTATCTGATAATGCAGTGCATGGTATACTGGGGATGTGGTCCTGGGCGATAGTGATTGGACTCAGGAAGAAAAGTGACTTCACTGAGGTCACTCTGGCTGGCTTCCTTGCCTCTGTCATTGATGTGGACCACTTCTTTCATGCTGGATCTCTGTCATTAAAGGTAAGTCAATAGATCAGTAAGCTGTTAATTTATAACTATTTACTTTATTGTTCTTCTACAGTGCCCTAGACAAAAAAAAATTCCAGTGATAATTTAATTAAATACATTTAATAGACATACAGGAATTGTTTATATGCAGTTGTTACGATTTTAAAAGCCATAAAAATATTTTACATCTACCGTTCAGTTTCTGCTACTTAGAAGGAAATAAAGACAGTTTTGCACATGTGCATACTATTCTACATGTATCACATAATTGCTTTGTTATCCAATTTAAGGAGTTAAGTGCTGCTTTGCACACTTCTATGGGTGAAGTGGATTATTCCACTATTTTTTACAGTAAGGGTTAGAAATACCTGAAATGTGGGGTAGAAATATCTGAAACATGGATGTTAGAGCTTCTGTTTAAATTAATTCAGTATTTATGAGTAATACATTGGTTTTAGCCAGCACTCAATATTTCTCCCACGAACAAGCTATATGTGAGCTGTCACCTTTAAGAAGGCAGTCTGAGTTCATTTAAATGTAGTTCATTTAAAAAAAAAAAGTAGGAAAGCAAGCATCAGCTTATTAGTAAAAGTAAAAAGGTAAATTGGCTCCTGTTAAGCAGTGAATAGATCATCATCTATTTGCAGAAGTGCTTGTTAGGACAGAGTTTCTCAGTAGGATTAGTACCACCAGATTATGGCACTCTTTCCCAGTTTTCCTCCTCTAGTTAGCTCATAATACTGTTACACTGTTCATAGGGAAATAGCTAGAAGGCAGGAAGGAAGAAAGGAAATCCTGTTCCTTACATTCATGTAAGTAAAGAAGAACAATGGTTTACCAATTTTTAAAAAATATTTAGCTAAGCGCAAGAGGAAAACATTGCTTATAATTGAGATGTAAAAATCCGATTTACAATGGAAAAATAGTTTTTGTTTAGGTACAGTATAACTAGAGAAAAAATGCCTTTTATTTGTGCATTTGGTCAGTTTCCCCGTCTTGGCTTTACCAATGTTGAGGAGAAAGGGAAGAATCAGGTCCCTCTACCTGCTGGCCACATTCCCAGTGCACCCCAGGATACCACTGACTACCGTTTTGCCACGTGGACAGTCAAGCTCCAGCATTGTCCTGGTGCCTGGCATCGTTCTTCCCTAAGTAGTCCCTAGTGTTTCCCTTTTCTGTACTTCTTGCGTGTGGAAATGTTGTACAGTTATAAAACTACGTTAAGGAAAGGAAAGTTAGTTTGGTTGACTAATGGGTCATACAATATTATTACTGAAATAACAATATGGAATAGATTTTAAATCTCGAATTATTCTCTGTTTTTTTTAAATCTCTAATTATCTGTTTTTTCTTACTTTAAAATAAGTGATTGCAAGTAAATAAATGGCTAGCTATTAGAAAGTGTTAAAATTGTATTGCTGCTTTTTCATGCATTTGAGATGGTTACCAGTATTTTTCTTAATTACAACCACTAGATGTCACACTTCACCGATGTCTGTTTGAGAAGCTGACTGTCGAATTGTTTCAATGAATTGAGAGGTGACCTGCCGTCAGGTCACCCGGCAGTGAGGCAAGGTTAAATATACTTATGCCTTCCATGATGGGGAACGTTTGTGTAGCCTAGCCTATCCCTACTCTGTGAAACCAAGTAAATTTTTGTAATTTTGTGACTTAATTTCTTCCTGTGTTGTTTCAGTTCCCAGGCAGATAGCAGTTCATTTTCTAATCCAGCCTGAAGTATTAGTGATGAAGATCTAGTTCTCTCGTTCTTTAAGTTTTTGGTTTTTTTTGCAAAAGACAGCTGATTTCTGTGCTCTCCCCCAAAACGTTTTTCAGATCAGAAACACAAAACACAGCAGGTAGAATCATAGCCCTTTTAGTAGCACTGAGTTGAGGAGATGACAAGATGCCCAAAGGCTTTTTCAAAGTGATTTGCCTACTCTTTTCCATATGGTAACTGGGCTAATAAAGGAAATAATCCAGTGTAGGTCTCTTGACTCTTAGAGTAAAAACATCATTACAGCTTGCAAAGCCAGTATGCTTTAAAAAACTCTCTTCTCAACTAAATAACTTTCAAAAAAAAAATCTGAAGGGAATAAATTTATGTTTCCTAAACCTCATACTATTTTTATCCTCTGTACTGCTTTTTTGCCTAAATTACTTCTGAAGGGTCCTGTCCAAAACCATGAGTAGTATCTTAGCCAAATATTTGAGCCAAATATTGTAGTTTAATTCCTTTCAATGGCACAAAAGTACAGTGATTCTGTCCTTTTAAAGGAAAAATAATAATCTGTTTTAGCTTTTGTCTTCTTGCTGTGCCACCAGGATCCCTTTGGTTTGTGATGTAACGTAATCCCCATAAACTTTTCTGTGTGCTGTCTGGCCAGCTAGATCTGATTGTAGTATGTAATTTTTCTTTCCTCGGCTTAATATGATATGCCTCTCAGTTTCTTGGTGTAATTTCAGGCTGTCGTCTATATAATTTATTATTACACGGGATACTTTTTTACTATGTGTTTGTTAGATACTTTTTTACTACATATTTGGTAGTTACAGTCCCACTCTTAGTCTTTAAATTGCATGGTTGAGAGTACCTGCTTTAAGAGACTAACATGTTTACTGCTTTTGCAACACATTACTAAATAGCTAATAAATTAGTAACTCTAATTAGCTAACCACACCACTAATTTGTACCAGTAGTATATTTCACATTACTGTACACAATCACCTATAAAGCTCGTCATCATCCCTCTTAAATCTGATGACAATTTACTTTTTCTGGAGTAACCTTTTTACGCAGCACAAGGCAGTCCTGCCTTCCACCTCCAGTTGCTACCTTCACACAACTCTAGTCACCTACTTCTGTTCCTGCTGACGCCACTCAGCGCTGGGATTGTTTGGGCATTGGCCTGTTTTTCATGATGATTTTTCTGCAGTATTCAGGGTAAATAGTCATCTGTGGTATTTATATGTTTGCTCTGATAAATACTTGTGTACCAAGTACCATGTGATCTGACCTTTTGCCCACATTATTTTTGCAACAGGTATGAAGTTTACAATGACTTCAGTACTTGGAATTTGTAGTTCTTTGTGTTCCATGTGGTTTTAACTGTGCACACAGTTAAGTACAGAAGAACCTGTCTCAGTCACTACTCCAAAGGCGGTAGCTCCTGCAGCCTGTCGTCAGTCAGGAGTGCTGGTAGGACATGATGGGCTGCTCCCAGACTCCACCGGGATTGTAGTCCAGACTCATGTTGCAGAAGAGACATGCAGAAATTGGTGTCTTGCTGCTAATGACTCACCAGATTTTAGAAGTGTAGAACATGCTGTCAGTGGCAAGCATACATAATACTGCTGGGAAATGTGCTGCCCATGGCTGACCTGGGCTGTACAGGAGCATTTCTGGAGCTGGAGAGTGGGCTTTGCACAAGCACAATTAATATGGCATTGAATATGTTACTATATTGTTAATACTACTACTATATGTTACATTAAGTATGTTACTATGAACTAAAGACTTCAGGCTTATGAAGCACCACAGAATATCAGCGAGCATCTTTTGTTACATAACCATCCATGGTGTCACCATGAGCACTAAAGCAGATCATTTGCGTGGGTTCTCCTGCATGCAGTTATTGTCTCCTGTCTCCAGCTGCTCATCGTAGTGAGAGAGGCCAGAGGAGCAGCAATTGCCAGATGATTTGCATCTGACTGAACATGCAGGCAAATGGAAAAGGTCGTTTCCAAATAAATTCTGTTTGCAACTTTTTCCAGGAGGTTTAAGATGGAAAAGTCTTGATTTTTTGGTTTTTTGTGGTGGTTTGTTTTTTGTTTTTGTTTGTTTGTTTGTTTGTTTGTTTGCTTTTTTTTTTTTTTTTTAAGATCTAGTGCTTCCCAAAGGCAAACAAATTTGCCTGTTAGGAGAAAGCAGCTTATACGAGCAAACAGAGCTACTTGTCTGTCTCCAGGGCTTAGCAACTTGAGGATGTAAGTGTTAGTCACAAAATGTAAGAGAAAACAGACTGTTCTTCTCTCAGACCTTGGGCAACAGCATCTCCGAAGCTTGATGGCTGTCCTGCAGTTACAGAATAGGACTTTCTCGTGCTAAAATTGAACATGCAGGTTTGCTATATGAACAACCTTGCCATCTGAGATTTACATGAAAAGAATTTAAGCATCACCTTGGCACCAATACTGATAAACTCTGTACATAAATAACATTAAAATTTTCCTTACTCACTGTGTTGCTGTTGGCACCTAACCTTAATAGGCCAGAGGGAAAAGACTAATTTAGACTTTGCTACTGTTTTTTTTTTTTCGAAGTGCCAAAGTAGAGGCCAGTCGATAGATTATCTGCCAAAACATATAATTATTCAGACTTTTTCAAAATTAGGTTGGTATGCATTTTTGAGGCTCTTGTTGACAATAACAAAAATCTGACTCTTTGTAAGGCAGGTGATAAACAATCTGCTTGTGTGAAACAACTGAAGGTGAAGAAAATACAGCTTTTGCTCCAACTTAAAGGAATTGGTTCCACAACATTAGAGTTAAAAATCGTTGAGACAGTTCGTGAGCTTTTTAATCCCATTACCTGATCAGGAGAGTCACTGACAAGAATGTGGTGGTAAGCTAATAGAGCAAAGCTTTCTGCAGGTCTTTTAATGTTGGCTGTGGTTTAAAACATGAACTGTTACATTTCAAGGTAGTTCGTAACTTCCCATCTCTCTATTATCTGGCTAGGGCTACATCACAATTCCCTTGCAGAGAAGATAGTGTTCCATGCAATTATCTAAATTATGCATGAACTTGATGAACCTATTCCAGAGTACCACTGCCAGACAGTCTAGCTGTTGAATCCTGCAAGGATTAACACAACTGAAGAATGCATGAGTTAGAGATGCTTTCTTTGCCTTCTGCAGTAGGTGCAGTGAGGGATGTGCTCAACACAGCAAGATACATTGGCACATTACATCTCTGGTGCCTTGTTACAGATTTTCTGTGTCTTCAACGGTATCAAAATTGAGCCAGTGAATATCAGCGGTTCTGTAGATCTTTTAGTAATGTGCTGTTGTTTCTCCTGTGCTTACAGACACTTGTCAAATAGAAATGCAAAATGCCATTACGTTTTTTTTATTGTGCTTGAATTTCTGGTGATGGTTGTAGATGTTGTTACTGAGTGCACTCAGAGAATATCTTCTCAAACATGTATATTAAATGACATTATCACTTCTTAAAATGTCTAAATCTAGTCTCACTAGCTGGGCATTCACCTTACTAAAACCAAATACCAGGCTTTCAACTGAGTTACTGTTAAACAAGTTGTTGATACAAAAAGCCCAGTCACAAATGTGTTAGATCTTGGCTTATGAACTTTGTTTTGCTGTCCGTGAAGAGTACTGTCTCATCGAGGTGATCAAAATACGTGTAACTTTGATCATATTTTTGTCCTATTGAAAATTGTTGTTCTGTTTTAAGAACTGTGCAACTGAACCAACTTTACAGGTGACAACTGTAATGAAGTACAAGATGTATTTTTGGATGTAAATGCCATTAAAGCACATGATTTATTTCAAGTAAAACGTATTAAATATTTCAAGTGTATTGCATTGCTGTTTTCCTTTTAATTATCTTGAAGTTAAATACATATAATCAGTGCAGCAGATTATACAAGTTCGTGTGTATCACATGACTATGTGACAAACAGGATTCCTCATCCCTCTCCCTCCCTGTTTTGCTGATGATAGTACTTAGTAAGATGCATGATTCATATCACACAATAGAGAGACAGGGCAGCACACAAGTCTCATGCATAAAATTGGCTTTAAATTAATTGCAATGGAAAGGAACAGTGTGTTTTTCTTTCTGCTTCCACTTAGTCACCTGACAATGCACCTGTAGACTCTCATGAAACTTTTCTTGTCTTGTCACAATCGTGGCCATTGCCAGTAATCTTTTTCTCTTTTGCAGGCTGCTCTGACTCTTCCACGGAGACCACTTCTTCACTGTTCTACTGTGATTCCTGTGGTGGCTCTGACATTAAAGTTTATCATGCAGCTTTTCAGGCTTAAGGACTCATGGTGCTTTCTTCCCTGGATGTTGTTCATATCCTGGACTTCTCATCATGTCCGTGATGGAATTCGTCATGGCCTCTGGATCTGCCCGTTTGGAAAAACTCCTCCCTTGCCGTATTGGCTGTATGTGGCAATTACAGCATCTTTACCTCATCTATGTTCATTTATTATGTATTTAACGGGCACTAGAGAATTAATGTCTATAAAACATGGAATCCACATTGATGTATAGGAATAATGGCTTTTAAAGGTGGTTTGTGCTAGCACTTGAAATAACCTGCCTGTCTGTCACTGAAGGGTTTCCTTATGTTTCCCACACCTTCTGAGTTAGGCACTTTAAGGTTGTGGAGCCAATTACAGCTCTTGTGTCAATTCCTTGTGATCATAAAACCTATTTAATGAATGATGATAATTTTATATCTGTACATTTCCCTTGCACAGTGTGTGGTCTTCCATGATAGTTCATGCATAGCAAGCTGATTATAAAGTACTTAGTTAATCTCTGTAGTAATTATATTACATTTTACTGTCACAGTGCCATTCATCTGGTCACCGTTCACTTGGGATTTGTATTCTGCCTTTGGAGAATACATTTCGTCCAGATAGTATTTGTATAGCACTTTGAAAGTGTGAAGTTCTATATAAATGCTAGGTATTACTGAGGGTTTAATAGTGTATGGCACTTCTAAAAAATCCTCAATTAACCTTCCAAATTTATTTATATGTTAGGAGTCCTGCTGGACTCTTGTATTGAACCATCTTAAAAGAAATACTGCCTATATTTCACACTGTCTATCCACACTTCTTTAAATCTGTAGTTACAGAGTGTTTTACTAAATTCTATATCCCCCTGTGATTGGTTGGTACTAAATTTGCAGATAATTAGTAGCTTCAAAATTAGAAACGAGTAGACAGTTTGATTATAGTATTATGGTGTGTTGGCCAATTAGTTGAATTTTTAAAAATACACTAATTATGAATACTATTTAATTTGGAACCAAGGAATTTTAGTATATATATAAGAATTGTGTGAAGATTCAGGGAGACACAAGAAAATAAAAATTGCTTATAACACAAATTTGCTTAAAGACATTACTACTCAGTAAAGCATTTTCCATTAAGTGCAATATCATCCTCATAATTGTAAAATAAAATACATTATTATTATTATTATACAGAAATAGAAATTTCCTCATAAAGAAGTTCCATAAGGAAAAGTGTTGTTATGCTGCAGTTTATGAGGTAGTAATTTGCACTATGGACTATTCAGTTTTTATTTACAGACATCTCTCAGAAAGAGTCCCAAATTAAAAGTTGTCTGGTCTTGTCTAACTAGACAAGACTGTCTAGACTTGAGTAGTTTATTATGTACAAGCTAAGAATGTCTATTAATGATTTTTAGATTTTTTATTCACCTCCCATTAAAGAGATGGGGCCTTAACTACTCCAGCTTGTGATGAATAGCTGTCAAAGGGGATCATTTTTATGGAACTGCATGTATAAGGTAGCATGTGCTTAACTTACCAAGGGGTTACCAAGGGGTGTAAGGACTTGCGTGATGTGTACATTTACATTATTAAATGTATATTAGAATAAATTAAAAAAAAATATTGACTGGGATGCCTGTCTTAATGAGTACCAGAAACTTTCTGTGGCTGCAGAATACTTAAGGTTCTTTGCAGCACTCTATACTAATCATGGAAAGTGTTGCACCTCTTTAAAATGTGTCTTTGCATCAAAAGTATAGTCCCTGTCCTGTCTTTGTTTCCTGTTAGAAATGTATGCCAATGCAGACTTGTCTGATAGTACAGTGGGCCTGTCTAGCCTTTATTATAAAATGAATAAAGTGTTTCTTTCTTAGAAAGAAGACTGGAAGATTTTTTAGAGGGTTATCTTCATGCTGTGGATTTCTGTCCTTTAGAGTTCTCCAGAAACAGTGTAAGAAATGTCTTGCTTTAGAGCCCTCAGATCAAAACTGTCCTTTTTCCAAAGGTATGATGGTTTACTAGAGTAGCATTGCTCATTCATTTACTTCTATCCTGTATTTTAAACTACAGGCTACGAAATGCCAATAATGAATGCATTTTGTGCAAAGGGTGAACACTGAAGCCCGTGTAGAAAGTTTTCTGTATTATTGTTTCATGGCATAATATTTGTATAATTTTGTGCTTTATCCAGATTTTTTGCAAAGGGAAATGTATATAGGAGCAAAGCATAGCATTACATTTTCTCACTTTCAGACTGTAGCTGTAGCACTTCTGGTAACTGTATGTCTACCCACAGTCCTTAAGATCAGTACTGTACTGTTCTAGCTATGTTTAAGGATCAGTTCATGAGTACATCTTCAGTAGTTTAAAACTACATATTATAATTCTCTATGTCTAGGTATTTTTGTGTCAGCTTTCACAGTAACTTTGAGCTGTATTTCAAAACACTGTTTTTCCCTTCCGTGTTCTTAACACCAGTTCTACCGCAGCAATAGGTGAACCCCACTCAGACACACATTAAGGAAAGCAGCAAGTACTTTGTACCATGACTTCTTTCCCTCCAGACAGACATGGCAGTCTCACACCTCAGCCTGACATTTAGGCAGCTTTAGCCGACCATCAGCAGCTTTTCAAAGTCAACTGACACATGGCATGTACTGCTGTAATTTGTGGGTAGCCGGAGTAGGGTACAAAGGGGAGGTTAGGTGTTTGTTTCGGCCTGTGTGTTGTGGGCAGAGTGGGAGCTACAGAGATTATAGAGAAGCCCTCCCGTTGAGTCACAGGGCATAGAAAGGACCCTCTTGCTTTCTAAACTCACAGAGGCCTCTGGGTGCAGCTGGATCAAGCCTTAGCCTTGGGCTCTGTCAGTGGTTTATGTTAATGGATTAAATTAGTGAACCTTTTCACAGCTTTGTCCCACAGGATTAAGGAGTTATTTATATGAAAATAAATTCATTATTATGATAATGATGAGACTAAAAGATCTTAATCAAAATTATTTTCTACACAGTATAAGTAACTGTAACTACTAGTCTAGTTCAGTCCACTATTTTTGAAGCAATATTGAAGCAATAATATCGAAGATAGCAAAAGAAATTAGGACGTAGATATTTATTTTACCATACCAATGATTGTGGGCAAATCTCTTTCTCTCAGCTTCGAGGGGTAACCTTGAGGCAAATCCCACCTCAAGGAAGGAATCTCCACACAAGCTCCAGAAAGGGGATTGATGGAAGATCCTCCCCATTCATGAAAAAGTGGACGTGGATCCTATGTTTCCAGGCCAGCTGTGTCAGCTCAGCATCTTTAGATAAGTTAGTAGTAGTAGTAGTACCACTACTTACTTGTTGCTTTATCCTGTACTTTACCAGGTCTGGCCACAGCTTCACCTTTCTATCAGGTATGTTTGACTCTGGGATTGATGTGTCAGGCGGGTTTCAGCATTATTCAGCACCAAAAGCACCAGGACAATCCCCTCCTTCGTTCACCACTGATAGTTTTGCAAACAGGGCATTACATTATTTGAGCTGTTCTATTCCCATCCAGGCAGAGCATCCTGCTACACCCAACACCTGTCTACTACAGGTGGATTGCCCAACAATTCCTTACCAGTATTTCAAGTGCATTTCAAATCGCTGGTGTATCAACTATACATTGATACCTGCCATGTGTAGCAAAATCGTAACAAAAATAAACCAAGATACTAAACGTATAATGACTTCGTGCTTTACTGCATGCATTATTATAAAGGGTAAATGTAAAACACAGAAAGTGTGTGAATTACACAAAACATGGCCTGCAAAGTTAAGCTAATTCTGTTGGGCACAACGTGTCATAGATATCACTAAAATATTAGGTCTTCCAGTGATTCTTTTAGTATGTCAATCTAAACATTTTCCATGTATTTTCATTTTGAACTTTAAAAGTTGAAGAAAGTGTAGGGTTTTTCTATCTGTTAGAACTGCGCTGCTTTTTTTTTTCTTGCTTTGACAGATTGGTGCTGCAAAAAGTAGGTACTAATAGCCCAAGTTAAAAATGTTAGGCTGTTTTTTCTCCCCAGTCCTGGAGAAATAAGATAAAATTTCTTCTAATTGCCTAGTGGCCTTAACAGAATGTGTGAACATGTTTCCTATAACTATGTATTCTACTTTAATCTGTCTTTTCACCTGACTGCTGGTATCACCTTTTACTACAGCGCAGTATATATTATATCATGTGCCCTTAATAAGGTATTGATAAGTGAATTATTCATAATTGATCCCTTGTGCACAAGGAAAATGATTCTAAGTTTGAATTGGACTGAAGTAATTTTTACGGCAGGCCACTGATACTGACTTATTATGAGAAGAACATTTCCTTTGCTAATGGAAATAAAGTTCCAGAAAGAGAGAGAAGGGGTTAAAATTCAGTCTGAAGGAAATGTTAGTACATAGTAAATTTTGGACCCATACATTTTTGTTCCATCATTGTCAGTATGAAGCTAAGTGATGAAATGCATCAGAAGAGTACATGTCTGTTTGAGTAATTGAGCCAATCTAAATTCTGTCAATTATGCAAATTTATTCAGGGCAGAAGAAATTTTGTATTCTCAGTGTTACACATCGTGAGCTTTGATCAGCTGGTAATTTTGAGCCCACAAACTAGGTTTTGTTTCCCT